CCTGTGAAGCCCCCTGCTTTGGTAGAGCCACCACTGGAGTTGGGGCATGCGACGCCACCTGTTCCGAGGGCCCGTGAGGAACCACCGGCAGTGTTCAGGATGATCGATTGTTCCAATCGTTTGATCATACCCATTGCGCCTGCAGCACCACCGAAGACGAGTTCCTGGACAGACTTTCGGCTGATAACCAATCTTTGCCAAGCATATCCATACTAGTGCAACATACAAGGCATTCTTTGTACACCCGCCTCCGGCTCGCCTGGCAACGGCTGTGCCGCGCCAGAGTCGCCGAGAAGGAGTTGACTGCGCAACTTCCTTTGGTCTTCTTTCTGGTCGAGGACTAAGTATGCCCACTCTTTCGGGCACCCCTGGCCCAGTCCGTCTCCAGCGTTTCGGCGTGTGGTTGGCTATCCTCTTCAGGACCTGCCACAACCAACCACACGGGGCAGGCCGACGCTGTCACGAACGACACCTCTGTTTCCGACTGTGCGAAAACACCACGCGTACCTCTTGAATGCAAAGATTCACTGTGTCTGGTCGTATTCTGGGACTCCTTCGTACACACCAAAATTGCCAGAAGACGTCAAGCCAGGCTCTGAGAACCGCCTGGTTTGGCCTTCAAAGGGAGGAAACAACTCTCCTGGAGCTGAGGGCAAGCCAGAGGGGGCCCCGGGCCCTCGAGGCATAAGGCCAGTGCCGGCCTGGCCTGGCGGCGGAGCGTGCCGATCCTGCAGGGAAGCGGGACCCACCGCGAATCCACGCACCTCAATCCATGTTGCGCTTCCTACAGGCTCGCGGGAAGAGCCGTGAAAGGCCGTTATCTGGGCTCCCCCCAGCATCACCCCGTTCCGCCTCCATTACGTATCAGTCCTTCCCCCTACCTCCGCTCTCCCCTCGGCGACTGCGAAAGTTATGGTTTGCGAAGAGTGTGGTTTGCAATCCGCGCCCCAGGGCGGCGGGCGAGGAACTTGACAGAGATCTCTGCCGCGCACCGACATGGGCACGTCAAACATGTGGCGCGATATGGTGACCCCATGGGCTCCAGCTGGGGAAACAAAAAGATACCCATACCGCTGCTCCACGGACCTCTCATCGGGTGCGTTCTGACCAAGTTTCGAAGGTGAATCGAACCGATTCGAATTGGAATCACGGCCCTGGCCAGCGAACCGTATCGAAGCGGATCGTAGGCGGCCCTGGGGGGTAGGCAACACGCAGATGACCGCCGCTGCCGCCGCCATCCCATCTCCCTGTGCGGTGTTAAAGATGGTGGCTGTCCGAGGTGCGCCATGCTACAGCCGGCACCGAGGGTTGAGAACAGCCCTGGCTCTGGAAGGGCACCCATCTGTTCTTCGTGTCTGGGCCCTCCACCTTGGAATGCTCTTCATGGGTTCCCCGATCGCTGAGCGCGAAGCGGTAGCGGCGGCTTGCGCGCTTGGTTTTTGCCCCATCGCGTCCCCCCTAAAGCCGCGCACCAAAGGTCTCTCTTGCCTAGGGCCACTCTTGCGTGTGGTCGGTCCCCATTCTTGAACCACGCTATTGCGGTCATGTTTCGACTGTATTTCTCGCATCCTCTCCCCCTGCACGCCCGCACAAAGGCTCGCCCGGCTCCTGCGGTGGTGACAGATCCACTCGAAGAGCAGCGGCTGGACACGGAGTGCACTCCGACACACCAGATCAGGGCAGCGAGCGCACGGCCACCGAGCACCCGCCGGCCCCCCGCAGGGGCCACCAGGCCGCCTCTGGCCGTGGGGCACGTGGCGAGCCGCGGCCCCACGAGGGAGCCCGAACAGCCCGTTCACCATTGGAGGCCTGGGAAGTGGCACCAACACCAGCACAGGGGGGCTGCCTCCACATGGGGAAGATGATCTTAGATTTCGCTGCTGGTGGTAATATTTCGGCCACCTTGGAAGCAAAAATATTACCACCATCACCAAGATCGGGATCCTCTTCCCTCGGTGGAGGCACACCACCGATATTGGTGTTGGTGTCAACCTCTAGACCTGCGACACCAGAAGCCGCACTCCGATGGCACTAGCTGGGAGGGGCTCGAGGTGCACACCAGGTCGTCTGGTCGGCCACGGAGCTCGGTGCACTAGGGCCTCCCAAAATCCCAGCCAGGGACCGCCGGAGCGACCGTGCACCGGCCTCCTGCGCCGAGCTCCTCGGCACCACGGCCGGCCAGGCGGCGTGGTGAGTGCATCGAGCCTCTGCGACCAGCCACGCACGTTCACTTCAGGGCTGAACCTAAACAGTGTTTTTCGTTTCCGTTTTGCTTTCGTTTTCTCCCGCTTTTTTGTCTCCAATCCGCCTTCGCTGCAAATCGAAGTCGAAACGAAAACGGCCCACGAAATCACCAAAAACACCGTTTAGGTCCAGCCCTGGTTCACTTCCCCTCGGGCATTTGCTGACCCCGGTCAATCCAAACCCGGGTCAGTCAGGCCTTGCAAAGTCCTGCAAGATCCTGCACCCAAACCCGGGTCAATGCCAAGGATCCCGCAAGATCCTGCAAGATCCTGCGCCGAAACCCGGGTCAATGCGACCCTGCCCCTGCAGGATCCTGCAAGATCGGGCGCTCTGGCTGACCCCCGGTTGCATTGACCCCCGTCTCACGGCTCCCGATCCCCCCTCCCCGTGTCGCATCCGGGGGGCAGCGGCAAGAGCCAGAGGCCTCGTGATAATCGGGACTTGCCGCCGAGAGTGAGCCAAGATGGCTGCAGCAAGTCCGGGCACCCCGCAACACAGTGCCCCGTGCGGAGCGCAAATGCCACAACCGACTAGAAAGGAGGATGTGGATACAGCGGAGGCCAGCCCACAAGAAACCTTCCACAAGAAACCCAACGCTGAGACCCCAGGAGCTCCACTGATTTTTGGGTTGGGAACGTCACACTCTCCATCGCAAAACCATCGAAATCCACGAAACCCAGGGCACCCAGATGGCTTCGAGACCAGAAGATCGCCGAGAGGGCCTCAAGAGGCAAAAATCGCCCCATCCCCCTAGGGTAACGTACACTTTTAGCATACTCACCTTTCTCGTCTTGGCAGCGTCCGAGACGGCCCAAGGGGCCCCCCAAGATCGTCCCGTCCCAACAAGGCAAATGAGGCCTCAAAGAGGGGCCCTAGACAGCCCAAGAGGGCCCCAAGACGGTCGCAGAGGCACCCCAAAAGGCCGAAGAGAGTCCTAAGAGGGCCCTAAGAGGGGCCCAAGAAGAGGATACGAACTGACTTTTCGACCCTTTCTCCCCGAGATTGCCCCCAGAGCCCCGCCGACGCCCCCGAGGCGCCCACAAGAGGCCCCAAGAGGCTCTGAAGGCCAAGGGGACCCCAAGAAGCCCCCTGGAGGCCCCCAAGAACACCCAAAAGGCCCACCAGATACCCCAAGAGCTCTCAAGAGGCCCCTGAGAGACATCCTACGAGCCCCTCACATGACTCCAAACTGCTCCTGATCCACAAGATCATTTCCAAAATCGTCGCAAGCGATCGTTCCTTCGTGGGGGTATGGTCGACGGAATGGCGTAAGCCACTTGGATAGAGGAAGAAACAACTGCATACACCTCAACTTTCGACAGTGTGCGCGGACTTCTTGGATCTGCGCTAAACCCCCTTCCCTGACGCGCGGGGGGTCCGAGGCACATCGAAGAAATTCACGCGGACCGTCCGAAGTGTATGGTGATGCAGTTTTGCTCTTCTTCGATAAGTGGAGGCTCCTCAAAATCGGTCCCTGGACCATTCTTGGGGCCCATCCGGTGTAGCGTTCCGCCCTGGATCCGTTTTCCATCGTCTCGGGGCCCGAAAACGGCCCCCCGGAGGCCGAACAAACAACAAAAAGCCTTCCCGGACCCGGAACCTCGGGCCTGCCCGCCCTCTCTGCTGGCCGGGACAAGTGCTGGGCCACCTCAGGCCCCCAGACGGCTCCAAGCCGAAGAAAGCGATACGTCGCTTTGGCTGCGAAGTAGGCCCTCGTCACGTGAGAAGCCGTCCCCCGCCCCCATGCGGGAGACCAGCAGGCTGCGCGGCCCGAGTCTCAGCAACTGCGCAGCTTGCCCTTTTCACGAATGCAACGAGGCAGCGCGCAACGATACAAAATCCTCAGGAGCCGAACAACTTGGCAATCGAGCGACGAAAAGAAACGGGTCCTACGCAAGATGGCATGGCGACCTTCTGCTGTGGCTCACGCGAACCGCCAGCGCGGCATGCCAGTGGAAACGAGGGCACTTACGCGCAACCTTACGCGGGCAACTTACGCGCGAATCTCGGCGCAGTCGAACCGGCTTCTCTGCGTCGCCCAATGGAAGTTCTCCGGGCACTGCTTGGTTCCCCAGAAGCTGAGATTCTGCGCCATCCCACCGGCCCTCTGAGCGTGAGTGGTCTGGCGAGTTCGTCCTGCTGACCCCCGTCGTCCTCTGGGGGAAGGGGGTCCCCCCTTCCCCTGCCCCGATTCCCCTGCCTGGGTCTGGACGGGGCGTCCCGCGAGGCATTCGACAGTCCCCCCCTCCATCCCCCCCACCCCCCTCCACCCCACCCCATTCAACCCCACCCCTCCCGGACGCTCCTCCGCCCCGTCCGAAGATGCTGCTGCTGCACCATTTCATCAGGGCAGCTCGCCGGGCGACTGCTTTTGGATGGGCTGGCGAGGATACTTTTTTGTCACAGCCGCAGGCGAAGGCGCCTGCAGCAGTAGCAGAGTTGGCTCGGGCTACGAGCAACCTAATTGCCGGCGCGCGCGTCGAGCTAGGCAAGCCCTGCTGGTGGCGAGGATACGCGAAGCTCGAAGAATTCCAGGCAGGAAAGTGGAGGGCCTGTTTTCCACCACCACCACCACCACCACCAGAAGTTGGAGGGGGAGGGGGTCCTCCTCCTCCTCCTCCTCCTCCTCCTCCTCCTCCTCCGCCTCCGCCTCCTCCTCCACCTCCACCTCCTCCTCCTCCTCCTCATTATCTTCGTCCTCCTCCCCCTCCTCCCCCTCCAACTTATGGTGGTGGTGGTGGAAAACAGGCCCATCAGAAAGCGCGCGCGACACGTTCGGCTCGACAGCGGCGCCACGCCACCCCCAAAACTGCGTTCGCTCCGCTGCTGGGGGGGCGGCGGAGGGCCGCGACAGCACGGCGGAGATCCGAGCTCCCACAGCCAGGACGGAAGCCGTGGACAACATAGGTGCGTTGTGGGCCCGCGCCTTCGGGGCCAGTCAACCCGTATTAGAAGGACGCACGATGAGGATACGTGGGCCTTGAAGGCCATGTCTACACTTTGCAAGCGGGGCGCGGCCAGCGAAAGCGGGCAAGGATCAGCCGAAATGGGGGAAAATGCAAAGATAACCTTGGAACGTCGCTTGTTCTTAATACGCGGGTTGACTGCACCATCTCGCGAAAAACACGAGTCCTCGCGTTCGACGCCGGGATGCCTCAACAGCACCAACAGAGAAGAAGGCGCACAAAGGCGACCATCCCACATGCACACACACACACACACACACATGTACATCCGCCACCGTACCTTGTGCACGCTGGGCGCGTTAGAATGCCCCTCTGCTGTCTGGTTGGCAGGGTTTCGTGT